CTTGATACTAGTGATTTGTTCCAACAAGATCTTATCTTATCCTTTTGTTATGAAACAACTTTTCATAGCCAATTCAAATTTGAATTCAAATATTTAAATTCGAATATTCAAATATTCCAATTCAAACTTTCAAACATTCAAATTCAAATTTCAAATTTCAAATTTCAAAATTCGAATTCAAAATTAAAAATTCAAATTTCAAAATTCAAATTTCAAATTTCAAATTCCAAATTCGAATTTCAAAATTCAAATTCAAAATTCAAATTTCAAAATTCAAATTTCAAATTTCAAAATTCCAAATTTTAATGTTTGATAATTAATTTAACCAATTAAATTAATTAGTAGTGTCTTGGACTATCCAAGCCCATTACTGTGATCCATGCGCCTTCCACCCTCAAGGTGGACTTCCAAACTACTTCTTGGACTAATGACCATTATTAGGCCCAATACCTTTAATGCTAGTTCATCTAGACAATTAGGTGTTAGCGTTTGACCCATTAGGTCCAACATAGCCACTGACATAAATGGGTTTGGGCCCAATAAGCCCACAACCCATCTAATGACAACACAGAGCACTAGCAATGCTTTGTTGCCCCAGAACTAGTTAGATTAATGACTTGATCATCCTATTACACATATTTGGTTGCCGTATGTATTTTCCTTCGTCTCGGTTACCTTCCCATTAACCTAGGGTAAGGAAATGTATCAACCCTTGCGGTTTAGGGTAAGCTTTATTCGAAATAGGGAATCTTCAATTTACTGACTCTAAAGGCAGATCATCTCATGATCTCTTTTACTATGCATAGATTCCCGAGTCCCTGTAAAGGTCATCCCGATTTCTCCGGTTTACAGATAACCTAATCTCTCACAGAGATTTGACGAATTCCTTCAGCTTATCACCCTAGCCTGTGCTCTTTCAGGACAAGCCCAACAGTATACCTATGAGTCTCCATGTTTCAGGCAGACGAGGTATACAGTCAAAGCATGCCTTCTAGAACACAATCTAGGTAATAACTTCTGGTCTCAGGAAAGACATACCCAAATATAAAGAGACTACTCTAAGATACTCTCTGTGAGATTTCCTCGTAGAGTCTCTTTGTGGGTCTGTTCAGTGCTAGCTATACCCTTATAGGTCGACCCACGACTTTAGCTAAGACATATCCATATCTGTAGCGCATGAGGTCTTTACCTTGTATCCGTATACAAGTAGATAAGTCGTGCTAGTCTTATCCGAGATCACTGATCCCCATTCTCAGTGTCTCTAGACTAGGAACATAAAATTAGGAATAAACGTGCGGTATCCTTGAATCCTCATGATTGTGATCTCATCACAAATACTCAAGAGATACCTGTTCTATTCCAAGGGGTTTATCCAGTTTATTCATAATATATATTAACAATAATATCGAGACATAATATGAAACATGATAAAGAGTGCTTATTATTTATTTGCGACAATAAAGGTCTACATTTAATGTCCTTATTTAATCAAAAGATTGTCTCTAGGACACCCATATACTAACATCAACGTGGTCACCAACAACAAAACAATCCAGTGAGTAACAATCTGGTTTAATGGCAAACACATCATCAATAATCATATCCTACAATTTCATATCAAATGAACATGTTTTCTTTTTCCTTTAGCGTACTGTAGGCTTCTCCCAAAGCCCCCAAGCACAAACTGTCTTTACAATTTTTAAAACTGTAGTTGCAACTCTTTACCAAAAATTCTAAGATTTTAATATGTTAAACTAGACATCTCAAGCTTTCCAACGACATATTTTATGTCTCATTTGGAGTTGTATAACCCGGTTATGTTAAACGCAACTTCAAACTGACACTGTGATCAAACCACTTATCCAATGGCTATGAAATTTTACAGAGTTGTATCCCTATATCTTAGCTACACATAGGTCCAAAAGACACTCGATTTGGAGTTTTGTAGTCCAGATATCAAATTTTTACTAAAACAGGTTTGTTACTGTCTAAATATATTTGGATATCATATCCGGATATTTCGCGACATTGGCAAAAAACAAAAGCCTAGCACGAAATTATCCACTAAAATGCCACATTTTACCTAGACACATTTCCCCCATCAATTTAGCATGCATCTTAACACTTAGATTCATCAACCAACGTTCAAGTTATCAAATTTCATAATTTTACATCTTCAAATCATGTTATTTTCATAAAAACAATAAGGAAAGTGCTGAGGTATATACCCATGAGCTTCAAAATAGAAAAATGAAGGGACTTCATGGTCTACGACCCACTCCCACTGCTGCCAAGATAAGAGCACGAATATGGTTCTTCAAAGTTGGTTCTTTTCTTATTCCAAGGCTTCAACACAAGTGAAGATGGTGACTCAAGCTCTCAAGGATGAAAGAAGGTCACTCTTAAACTCAAGACAACAAGCTTAACCGTTCAAGATGGTGTTTTTCTCCTCTAACATCACTAACAACTAGTGTTTACAAGGTTAGGATAATCCAAGGGGGAAGAAAAATGATAACTTTGGTTTGTTTCTTGAAGAATAAAGAAAGCCTAGATGTGGAGAATATTTTCTGCCATGAGAGGAAATGAGAGTGCAGCAATATGGGTTTCAGAAAATGCCCTAGGGTTGTGTGTCACTTAGCTATCTATAAGAGCACCCACTAAAACTAACAATGTTAGTTTAATTAGTTCAGCTCTTCGTTTAACCCTGAAATTTCATATTCTTAACCTAGACTTTTTTCTAGGAATTTTCATATTTTTACATTAATTTTTTGAGACACTTTGTCGGTACACACTTTATACTGCGAAATAGCCGGTATTAGTTCTGACATCACCACTTACTATTTTCATCTCAAATTTAATATTCTTGACCTAGATATTTTTCTAGGAATATTCATATTTTTATTTCTATTTTTCGAGTTACCTCGCTGGTATCAATTTATACCGTGAAATACTCGGTGTTTGCACTTTCCTTCTAAAAATTAATTTAATATTAATTATTACGCTCTTTCCCTATTTATCCAAAGTCAATTATGAAATTATTGATTAAACCATGTTTAACTCATTAATTTTCTAATTTAGCGGTGCGAGTTCTTACAATTGTTAACTTTTTTAATTTCAAATTCAAAATCCCTTTTAATTTAGTTATATATGTCAATCTATCAAATTTTAAATATTTTCTATTTTTGGTCGGTATAATAAAATCGTATCTACCTTCTTTTGGTAGTAAATATTTTCTACTTTCCCACAATAGTTTTAATTTGAATTTTTGGGATAAAAAATTAATTAATTGCAATTTAAATAATAAATTACGAATTTATTGCTGTTTTGAAACTATTTACGCCTGTATTGCAGTGTGTCACGCTCTGATTGGTCGTGACCACTTACTCCTAAGTTGGGCGTGACCCACAAGGCACTTACGCCTAAATTAGGCGCAACTCATCTGGTGTTGACATGTGGCACAAAAAGTTAACAATTTAATCGTAAAACTCCGGAAGACCATAACTTTTGACTCAGGTATCCAAATCGGGTATTTTTTTTATTCCACATAACTTTTTGAGATCTACACAATGACACCTCATTTGGTATATTTTAACTCTCACAAATGCAGTTTGAATTTGCAACAATGGTACTACTCTAAAAGTGACACAATATAAAAGTGTGTGAGAGATTGGTGAGAATATAATATTCTTTAAGTTGTACTAAAAAATGCAAAACTTTTGATTTATTGTATTAAAAATATGTTCTTATGTTGTGAAACATGCTTTGATAAAAGGGTTTGAGGTAAATTATTCTATTATAGACGTCGAAGAATGCATTATTATAAACATATATAGCACCTCAAACCCTCTTATCAAAGCATATTTCAGAGCATAAAGTCCACCAGAAGAATCTAGGAGTCCCATGAAAAGCGTGCAATTGGATGCCCTTTTTGGCACATTTTATCTTTGTGAATGATGTTATTTTAAATTTTTACTTCCCAACATTAACAAATAATCCTCCGAAAATTTTCCAATGCATAAATATCGAAAAGTTGCGAGAAATAAAAAAATCACTTGATTCAGACTTTCGAACCAAAAAAAAAATACATGTTAATTAGACCACATTATATTATAGGAAAAAATATGTATCATTTTTAGGTGAGAGAAAGAGATAGATCTCGAGAGAGATGGTTGGGGAAAATGTTTTAAAGGTGGGGGTTCCACTTATTTGTGAGAGTGAAGGGACACAAAGTGTGTCATTTAAAATGACAAATATTTTCCCCTTATATTATATTATTTTTTAAAAACCATTTTTTAAAAACTAAATCCCGCTCCAACACACACACACACTCCCTCACTTTGTCTGTAAGCTCCTATCTCTATTCAATAGATGTTTGCTTTTTGTACCTTTTTTACAATTTCAAGATTTTTTTTAAAGAAGATTGCGTTTGGTGTTGGTTCAAAAAAGAACTAGGAGGCTTATCGGTTTAAATGCTCATATAGTAACATAGTTGTAAATTCGAACTATGTTTGTTAGAGATAAAACATACCAAATGAGATGTCATTGCGTGGATCTTAAAAAGTTACGTGGAATAAAAAAAATTACCTGATTCGTATACTCGAGTCAAGAGTCAAAGCCTTATGAAGTTTTACAATTAAACTGTTAACTTTTTCTACCACGTGTCAACACCAGATGAGTCACGCCTAATTTAGGCGTGAGTGGTCACGCCAATCAAGACGTGACACACTGTAATGCACAAGTAAATAATTTCTAAACAGTAATAAATTCGTAATTTTTTGTTTAAATTAAATTTGTGCCTTAATTTTTGAACAAGTTTTACAATAAAATGTATTAAATACTTTATTATTTAATATGCAATCGTTAAAAAATGTTGGTGGTGGTTCCAAGTGCTCTCTCTCAAGCAAATCAAAATGTATACTCTCATGTCAAATCTGTTTCATCACACACCATAATGCCCCCGCTCAGGTTTACGAGCCAGCGCTACCAGGCTCAACAAACGAATGGCGTTGTCAGAAGTATATAAACACTAAAAGTTTTCAAGGTTGCCCGATGTGGGACATAAAAACGCAATGAGCAGAGCTGGTCTTCGCGGTTCGGAGCTATTGTGACATTTTCGTCGGTGATTCCTTTATTATCCTATTTAGATTGTTTTCTTTTGTGTTTTGTTCCTGAATCGCTTTATCCTAAGAGGAAAGGGAGCTTTACTCGAGAGGAGGATGAACGCTTAACAGTAGCAGTCATGCTTTTTGGACGGAAATGGATTCAAGTAGCTAAATTTGTTCCTGGAAGGACCCAATCTCAGTGTAGGGACAGGTAATGTATTTTATTTTTAATTTTTTGGTAAAATAGATTTTTTATAATTTAGGGTTCCTGTTAAAGATTTTAAGCATTCTTATGGCAGATACCTCAATAGTTTGGACCCTTCTTTGAAATGGGGTGGATGGACTAAGGAAGAGGATTTAAGATTAGAAGCTGCAATTGTCAAGCATAGATTCTGCTGGTCTAAGGTTGCTGAAGATGTGCCTCCTCGCACTGATTCTCAATGCCGGAAGTACGAGTTCAGAATTAACTTCGTCAATGAAAAATCTTTGTTTTAAATCTTTAAATTTTGTTATTTTACCCATCTGTTTTCCTTACATTTATCAGGAGATGGAAGGTGTTATTTCCTGATCAAGTTCCTTTGCTTCAAGAGGCAAGAAAGACTCTAAAGTCTTATCTTGCTAGTAAATTTGCTGCTATGTCATTTCTTTTTCTCTAGGTTTTACAATAATGGTGTTGTCATTATGGGCAACAACAATGCTTAGCTTATATGTAAAAGTTCAAGTAAATATACTAGGAAGGCATCTATATATTGATACGGCACGAAGCCTTGGAAGCTATAATTCAATGGTGAGAACCACCTTCTTTCTTGTCTTGTCGTTTATCTTTTCTCTTTCTGGTTTTGTTCAAAATATTTCCTCATATATTAGAGGAACTATTACTGTTCTGAATTCTTTAAAGATGGAAACGAAAAGAAAAATGGAAATGGAAGAAAATAGGATCTGTTTATTGATGAGAAGTAAAACACAACACACAACAAGAGACACTTCTCTTGCCAAGAGGGACTCCCCTTCTAACTGAGCGTTCTCAGCCTATATTCAGAAAATACTAAAAGTGACTCCAATATCTTTTTATACAAACACAACCTTCCCCCTAACTAACTATCTAATGACTAAGTATATTTCCTAAGGAATATTCTTTCCCTCCTAATACAAGACGTATCAAGAACTTTGTGAAGCAACATTATAAAAAGAAACTTTAGGATAGCTAACAATTAAGTATGATCGGAAGTTTAAATTTGAAATTTTGTCTGGAATTTAATGGCTACATCTTTTGATCATTTATGTGCTGAAACCGAAGGGTAGCTACCTCTTACTATTTGAATAACGGAACAATTCTGTTCAAGGCCAAATGGAGAAAACAAGGCGAGCAAAATGAACAGAACAACCCTTAAGGCAGGCATGGATTGTCTGCAATGTATACTTAATTGCAAAATTAACTTATAATGTTGTGATTTAGCAGAGTCCTGCATGAGTTACAGATACAATTTTAGGATCAAAGTCATTCAATTATTGAAATATATGCCTTTTGTATGTGTTGTTTAAAATTTTTGAAGGGCTAACTTCCATAGAATCCTGATTAGGTTACGGGCAATGACATGCCATGCCACTTTGATTGAACCGTTCACAGTTTAAACCTTAGATCTGAACTTGATCTTTTCACCTCATCCTGAATTGGCCAAGCTCATGGAGGCTGATAACCTTGACCCTGGTTAATTGGCTGCTGTCTGTTTTAGTTTCTGTTGGGTTTTGATTTTTGTTGTTCTGGTCTTTTTTGTTTTCTGGGTTTCCAGTTTGTGAGACTCTTCTGTTCTGATTTTTGGGGCTTTGCCCCTCATGAATACCAAAAAAAAAAAAAAAACCTTAGATCTAGAAGTACTACTCCTTTTATTTTCTGCTGTGAGATACTTTTTCACCTTTCTTATCGAAGGCCAGTATTGAGTATGATTGGGATATTTTGGATATAAGCACTATGCACTATAAAGTAATCCACTCCCTATTCTGTCTAAGGATCCATGTTGTTACCTATATTATCAAGGTGCACTCGCATTCCCGTGTGGTCAGAGTTATTTGACCTGATTCCAAGTTAACTTACATGGATGTGCCGTGGATCATCACCAAGTTCAATTTCTCATGACTCGTGTCCTATATAGTTAGTGTGTGTGTGTGGAAACATTAAGGTCCACTTGCAAATCTTGCTCAGAAGTTATTGCTGTTTGATATCATCCAATGCTTGAATTAGGTACAAGATGTGTTGGTAGTCTAATGGAAAATTTAAGACAGGCTTTGATCATCATAATATAAAAAAAGATTTTATCAATCAGTTTGCTTATTGATTGGAAGTGATGCAATTGGATAATTTTCTTAAATAGGGAATCCTCTGTCATTCATAAATTAGTTTTAATGAGACTGGAATTTTTCAGTGAGTCATAATAGACTCAACAGAACCTTCTCTTTTCGTGGGGATAAGGCTTGGTTGTTTTTCTATCTATCTGCATAATTCTTTCTGATTTTCTCGGGACCTTGTTTTTATTGAGATCGCATTTGGATGATGAACTTAACTGGGGATATGGGGATCTGAATGTAGGCTATGTAGTATAAAATGAGGTTTTTTACTACTTGATTGGTGGAATCAAGGGATGGGTCAAATCTCAAGGTTTATCAGAATTTTTGAAACTTTCCTATCAAGTTCTTTTGAGTGGTGTATTTATTTTCATCCTATGGTTAGGCTAGTCCATATATGTATTTGTTTAACAAACAACATACTCAGCTTCATTTGACCACACTAGATTGAAATTCTAATACTTTTCGCCAAATTCATGCATGCATTCCATGTGCAATCTAAAAGGTCTTTTCCGCCTTTGTACAGGAAAGTGGAGATGTGATCGATAGGGAAGACCAGCAGAAGTTTCTAGGAAGTGTAGATTTTCTTTCTCAATATGGTATGGCTACCTTGATTTCTGATATGGAAACAGCAGCAAAAGAAGTTCTCCAAGGGTGAGGTTTCTCTTATTATTTTGAAGGTTGACAATTCATGAATTAAATCTGTCAATCATTTAACTTATTTTCTGGGATATAATCATATAAATTTTGGATTTCACACAAGATATAGAACAATCTTAACTGTTTCCACACATAGGATTTGTCAATACCCAAGTTTTGTGTTTTGAAGCTTTCAAAGTTTTCAATCTATTCTTCACTAAGTTTCTGAATTGAGAAACTCAGGATATCAAATTCTTTTCAGATTAGTTGGACATAATGATTTAATTTCTAGAACTTAGAGACACCCTATATATTTATTCCCTATCAAGAGCCATTTTAAATTGGCCATAGGTAATTTCCATGTCCAGAAAGCAGTTGAGAAGTGTCTTCAACAGTACAACACTTCAAGAAACCATCATGCAGATACTTGATACATTCATGAGCATGGGGAGTCCCTATTCCTGGGTAAAGTATTTGATGCCTGAAGATGTTAAAGCACATTCAAAAACCTCCCTCAGTGATGATCGAGTTCCTGCTGATGTGACTTTATTTGATCAACTTATGGTGGAGGCACGAGCAGTGTTATCAAGGTATATATGTTAGGCTTTGTAAGCTTTGTTTAATTACAACTGCCATAAAGCTTAATAAATTTGTGGGAACCATGTGGATGAACTCTACTACTTGTAATGTTAAGGAGGACTATGATGTTGCAATAGTTGACAATGATATGAATCTTTCTGAGAATGAAATCCTTAATTTATGGTCAACTTTTACATAAATTTTATGCTGAATATGTCATGTAACATTAGGAGCTACATTGTATTAACCAATCAAACTGAAATTTTTTAAATGGGTAGAGGGACAAGGTACAACATATTTAATGTTTCTATGACTTGAAAAAGGGTATTCTGATATATTTTAGAATTGTAAATAATGTGTACAAGGGGTTCTCTATTTATAGAGAATATTTGACCTACTTTTAACCTAAAGGCCTTGGCCCAATACAACAAAGGGCTTGACCCAATACAACAATAAATGACTAAATAAAAACTAAATAATAACTAAATCAATATTATTTACAACACTCCCCCTCAAGCTGAGGAATAGATATTTATCATTCCCAGCTTGCTAGTAAGTTCTTGAAATCTGTCTGAAGGAAGCCCCTTTGTTAATAGATCAGCTAATTGACGCCCAGTGGGAATGTATAGAGTGGTAATCAACCCGCTATCAAGTTTCTCTTTGATGAAATGGCGGTCGACCTCAATATGTTTAGTCCGATCATGTTGAACTGGATTATGAGCTATACAAATAGCGGACTTATTATCACATAGCAGCTTCATAGGTCCCTCACATTTTATTTTGAGATCATCAAGTACAATTTTCAGCCACAGTAACTCACAAATTCCTTGAGCCATAGCTCGAAATTCAGCTTCTGCACTTGATCTGGCAACCACATCTTGTTTCTTACTTCTCCATGTCACCAAGTTACCGCAAAGAAACATGCAATAACCAGTGGTAGAACGACGGTCAGTCACGGATCCAGCATAATCAGCATCTGTGTAGACTTCTAAAGATAGATTGCCATCACGTCGGAATAACAATCCTTTACCAGGAGTACCTTTAAGATACTGAAGAATTCTCTCTACTGCCTGCATGTGTTTTTCTTTTGGATCGTGCATAAACTGACTGACAACACTAACAGCATAAGCTAGGTCTGGTCTAGTATGGGCCAGATATATCAATTTCCCAACTAGCCGTTGATATTGTCCTTTATCAACTGGAGGACTCTCTTCTTCATAGCCCATCTTGTGATTCTGCTCAATAGGAGTATTAGAGGGTTTACACCCGAGCTTTCCTGCTTCTTTGAGAAGATCAAGAACATATTTTCTCTGGCTGATAAAAATTCCTTTGCTTGAATGAGCTACTTCTATCCCTAGGAAATATCTCAGTTTCCCAAGGTCTTTGATTTCAAACTCAGAGGCAAGCCGTGTTTGCAGAATCTGTCTCTCCACAAAATCATCACCTGTGATAATAATATCATCAACATATACAAGGAGCACAGTAAGCTTCCCATTTTGGGAGTGCTTGAAGAAAAGAGTGTGATCTCCTTGGCTCTGTCTGTATCCTAAGGTCATCATAACCTTAGTAAATCTTCCAAACCAAGCACGAGGTGACTGCTTCAATCCATACAAGGCCTTTTTTAATCTACAAACTTTATTTTCCCCCTTCACAGAATCAAAACCAGGCGGGATTTCCATGTAGACTTCTTCTTCTAACTCACCATTGAGGAAAGCATTTTTCACATCAAATTGATTTATATCCCAATTGTAATGGGCAGCAAGGGATAACAAGATTCTCACTGTATTCATCTTTGCAACTGGAGCAAAGGTTTCTTCATAATCAATGCCATAGGTTTGAGTGTAACCTTTGGCCACTAATCGAGCCTTATATCTCTCAAGAGTGCCATCAGAATTATATTTCAGGGCATAAACCCATCTGCACCCTACTGCTTTCTTTCCGTTGGGTCTATCAATAACCTCCCATGTTTTATTTTTCTCCAAAGCATTCATCTCCTCTTGCATGGCTTGAGCCCAATTCCTATCTTTCAAGGCTTCATGTACTGATTTTGGGATTGCAATAGAATCTAGTGCTGAAACAAAGCTTTTGTGCTGCACAG